TTTTTTTTTTTTTTTTTTTTTTTTTTTTTTTTTTTTTTTTTTTTTTTTTTTTTTTTTTTTTTTTTTTTTTTTTTTTTTTTTTTTTTGTCTTGTTTTCGATTTCCTTTTCGAGATGCCCATCGAACAGTCGAGCCGGCAGCACGAATGGTGCCGCCCCTGTTATTGTCGTTGCACAATCGTTGTTATTGTCATGATTTTCGCCCTTTTCTTTTTTTAGAAAGAGAAGGAACCAAAGAAAAAGAAGAAACATCTGCCCATCTCCATCCCACCCCGACCCTAGTTGTTCACCGTGAAGATACGTCTTCCATCCGCCCGACCACCTTCTAGGCACGGAACTGGCCAAGAATCAAACCATCGTCATCAGACCTTGGAGCTCCAAACAGCACCATTTCCCCACGACTTCTGCCTGAGAGGTCACAAACATCACCTCATGCATTACGAATCCGCCGGCACGTCTCGTTTTCCCCAAAACAAACATCTCATTTCTCAGGCAGGTCACCCGACCAGATGGTCCTCGCACCCCACAAACACCTGATCCAGTCCGCCGACAAAGATCCATGTATGTACCTAGTGTCTGCATGACGTGCATTTCCAGTCTACTGCATGTCTCTTTCCCTTTCGATTCTTCTCCTAGCTGCGACGCATCTTCCAAGTCCTGTTCGCCTCTCCACGCTCTCCGGACATCGGACGCCATGCTTCCCCAGCGACCCTTCATCCACAACACTCCCAAGCTTATCCAGCAACAGTCTCCGATTCCAAAGATGAGTGAAGGACAACTGCTCATCATTTGCCGAAGCAGTAGCACATGGACCAGCGAATTCTTAAAGTACACAAGCCGCGTGCTTCAGAGTAAGGTGTGCTGCACGAAACCTGACAAACTTTTTTTTTCCGCTGCCTACGTGGTGTCTTTTTTTATTTTTTATTTTTATTTTTATTTTTATTTTTTTTTTTGCTGCTCGTGAGACGTCTTTTCTGCTAGCAGCAATCATCTCTGTCTGTAGTCTGCATAAAAACCTTGTAGGCACCTTTCCCGGTTGGCTAGCTGTATTGCCCCAAAACAATGCGTGACGTAAAAACATGCAGCGACGAATTTATTCATGGGGAAAAACTGGCCTAGTCTTCTTCCTACTGTGGGAATTTCACGCAGCTCCTGCCGTCTAGTGCATTGAAACCCTCATAAACGAGCTTTCACAGAGTTGCACGGGAACCTACGGGCTTTTCATGAGAGACTGAGGCACAAAATGGCTAGAGCTCGCTTTCCGCTCGTCACGCCATGTCAGGCTTCGCGGATCACGCTCCAAGTCTGGTGCATCGGGAATGTGCGTTGCCGTGTAAGACATAGTACTTGATAAGGTTGACGGTCCCTCTGTAAGGACTCGTTAGTCTAGGGGTTAGGACGCTGGATTTTGACCATGAGTCCCTTTCCGGAAACATCAGTTCGAATCTGGTACGAGTCTTTTTTTCCTTTTTTTTTTGGTGTCTTTTTTTTCCTTGCGATTTGAGGCAGTTGGATGAGGATGTCTATTCGCGAGATGAAATGCATCCAGGCCGATGTGGAGGGCCGGCACCAGAGGGGATGTTGTTGTGCATCGTATCTCGTCCCACGACATCTGCATGTAGCACCATCTGGGGAGCTGCACGGGTGGACATGTTGGAATCACATCCTCACGACATTGCCGTTCAAACCACATACCTGGTCGAGGCAGACGGGTTTACACTTTACTTCCGCTCATCGGGCAAGGATCCGCCCCGGTAGAATGTCATTGATCATACGTTGTACTATACACTTTTATACAAAAACGGTTCACATGGCAGAGTCTCTAAACCGGCAGGACTAGTCGGTTCCAGTTTCTGGTGGAAGCGGCTCGGTATCCCACGCCACGTACACGGGACTTCCGGCCTCTTGCTGGCTTCTCATTTCGCGAAACTTTTTTCCTTGCTTCGTGACAATGGGCAACTGGCCCTTAAACATGTGGTACCAGTCTGCTGATCGGGTGCGTGGATCGGTTTCAAGAACTTCTCTCCTGCGCTTCTTGATTTTGGCGTAAATGGCCCTGGCCCTCTTGTCCGAAAGCTCGGTGACGGTATACTGCACGGACCAGTCAAATCGCTTGCCTATTCCCGACGGCCGGGTCACGAAATCGCCGTTGACTTTGTTGCGAACGCTGACATACATGCCGAGAAGCTCTCGTTGAGGCTCGTCATCGACGCTGGTATCCTGCTGTGACTCGCCGTCGTCAGACGTGGTGGGTGACTCGTCGTCGTCGGACGTGGTGGGTACCTTGTCGTCTTCAGACGTGGTGGGTGCCTCGTCGTCTTTAGACGTGGTGGGTGCCTTGTCGTCGTTGGATGTGGTGGGTGCCTTGATGTCTTCAGACGTAGTGGATGCCTCGTTGTCGTCGGATGTGGTGGGTGCCTCAATGTCTTCAGACGTAGTGGGTGCCTCGATGTCTTCAGACGTGGTGGGTGCCTCGTTGTCGTTGGAGGTGGTAGGTGCCTCGATGTCTTCAGACGTAGTGGGTGCCTCGTTGTCGTTGGAGGTGGTAGGTGCCTCAATGTCTTCAGACGTAGTGGGTGCCTCGATGTCTTCAGACGTGGTGGGTGCCTCGTTGTCGTCGGACGTGGTGGGTGCCTCGATGTCTTCAGACGTAGTGGGTGCCTCGTCGTCGTTGGAGGTGGTGGATGCCTCGTTGTCGTTGGAGGTGGTGGCGACGGACTCCAGTGCCTCGAGGCCGCCATCAGTCTCTGCCGACTCGTCGGCCTTGGCCGTCGCCTTTTCGTCCGGTGTCGAGCCCAATGTCTTCTTGTCCGACTGCGATGCCAGACCAGCAAACTTGCGCTCAAAGACGCGCAGATTCGGCTTCTCTTCGTTTACGCCTTGCGTGACCTTCAAGATCAGATTGGCCAACGTGGCGTTATCCGTGCTGTCGCCGCCCGACTCGGCCTCGGCGTTCTCTTTGGAAGCATGAGACTCGCCGAGCTCTTTGGCTTCCGTCGAGTGCGCTGTCAATGCCGCGACAAGATCATCCACATACTTGTCACTCTCCACTTCCGTCTTGCCCTGCAGCAGTCCGCTGTGCTCGAGAGCTTCCTGCACTGCGTCTCGTATCGAACCAACACCCAGAGACTCATCCTCCACCGCTTGGTCCACCTTGGACATCATCTCGTTCCACGTATCTTCATTCGAGGCGTCTTCGTTGACAGTTAGGTCGTCGGGCACCCTCTCCTGCTCCTCGACGTCCAGCGTCTCCATTTGAGCAGCAGCCTCGGCTTCTTGAGCCGACTCGGCCTCGCGTTCTTCGTGGCTGAGGCCTTGGATCTCGCGCTCCAATTGCTCGGCCGACGGCTTGCCGGCCTCCTGCGTATTCCTCATCTCTTCCTCGGTGACCGGCTCAGCGAAGAAGTAGGTCAGAGGCACTTTGGTGGGTCGTGTCTCGACGTGTAGCCGCAGTGTTCGTCCCGGGAAGCGCTTGGTTGCTCGGTCCATGAGGTCGTTGAGCAGGGCTACGCTGCACTTGAATTCCTGATCGCCCAACCGCGTGTCATTTGTCCCGTGGATGGAGTGATCCATTTCGGCGAGGCTGATGTATTGGAACCCAAAGATGCGCTGCGTGTTGTGGAATGCGACAAAGATGCCGTCCATGCGACCCATGCGTACCTGTAACGAGTATTTAAGGAACGCTGCTCGGATCATGTCGCAGTACTCGCGTTCAAACGACTCCCACTGTCCAAAACGTTGTCGGATCTCGTACCCGACACCCTTTTCGTATCCCGTGACGTCCATGCGTATACTGACGACAGCGCGCGTCTTCAGATCAAAGACGCCTGTGCCGGGCAACCGAGGGTCGTACGCATCGAGCTGCGAGCGCATCATGAAGTCGCCCAGCGTGGTGAAATGATATGTCTCCTCGGCATTCTTCTCGCTCTCCGACAGCTGATGCGAGCGGGATCGTCTATACTTCTCAAACTCCTCCTTGGGCAGCGTGAGTAGCTTTTCCATGGATTTGCCCAGCATGCTAAGAACATTTTCCGTGTCGTACTCCTTGTCGGCATCGATGGCGTACACGCCGTCCTTGAAATGCGCGAATGCCGCTGCTGGGCCGCGGCTCAGGGCCGTAAAGTTTTGCGAGTCTGGTTCCAGTGATCTGGATAGACTGTCGAAATTGGGCTGCCTCCATGCGGAGAGAAGAAAGTGGAAGTGCGACAGAATAGACGTCATGCTCGAAGTCGAGCCGCAATATTTCAGCCCGTGCTTCGCGCAGAGCTCCCTCAGCTTGGCGTCCTTAGATGACGTAACATATTCCTTCAATACGCTATAGTCAAATTCCTCGACCGGCATAATGGATGCCAAGTACGGGTCAAAGTTAAAGACGCCCGACCGATGATCTTGCATGTGGTAGACGCCAGGGTTGAACAGGACCTTGTCCAGATTGTAGCACAACTTGGGAGCCTTCTGGGTCGTCTCGTCATCCATGGCCTCGAGGTTTAGCCTCGATGGACGAATTGTCTGAACCTTTAACTGACCTTTTTTTGAGTGAGCTTTTTTTGATTGAGCTTTCGGTTTGCGTTTATTCTTTGCTTTGCCTGCCTTATTTGGTCGCTTCGAATCGGCGTGCTCCTCACTCTGCTCCTCGCTCTGCTCCTCGCTCTGCTCCTCGCTCTGCTCCTCACTCTGCTCCTCATTCTGCTCCTCGCTCTGCTCCTCGGGTTCTACGTCGACGGCCTCTTGTTCGGCCTCTTCTGCTTTGCGTTGTTTTCCCTTGGAGACGCCAACGGGATTGACAGAGGCTTCCAGACGGGCTCGAAGAGAAGTCCATGTTCCTCCTGCCTTATTTCCATCTTTTTGAACCTGTTCGACACTGTTCTCGGCAGGCCATGAGTTGACGTCAGCCGCCTGGCCGCCCACAAATTCCGATGTGCAGGGTGGTGGGTTCCCTTCCTCTTTTTCCTCGCCCTCTCCTTGCTGCGCGTCACTGGTCGCCTTCCTAGATTGATTCGCGAGGCATCTTTGGCGTGTACGGAGTGATTGATTGCTAGCGCGAATGGGCCGAATGCCGCTCTGCCATCGGATGGACTGCAGAGCCAAGGTCAGAGAACCTTTGCGGCAGAAAGGACGCAGCATCTCATATGCCGAGTGCGAAGACGGCGAATCTGAACCGTCACGGACTTTGCTTGCGGACTTTGAAGGCAGTGAATATCAAGAGTGGGAGAGGAACAAAAAAAAATTAAAAATTCTTTATGAGACCAGAAATCGACGACACGTGCTTTTCGTCCACTCGTTATCATGGATGTCTCCGCCTGTCGCCTCGTGATTCGCCAGGCCGCTACCTTCCCTCTGGTCCACTCGTCCACTCCATTGACGTTACAAACAATAGCCCATGTTTGCTGACATCCGCAACCTCGACACATCTCCGCAACGTCATCCAGTTTACGACGGGGAGCTCCCAGGCTGACTGGCTTGCGCTGTAGACATGGGCGCCAGCGATTCCAAAATTGTCTTCAAGCAGGGCATTTTCAAGCTATCCGAAGAACGCCATATTCGGCCAGACGATCCCTACTGGACCTCAGTGCGTACAAAACTACTCCTTCCCTTCCGCTGCAACCACTCTCGGCTCCGATGGCAGCAGCAGAGCTAGTCGTGAGGCGATCCATACTTACAGTAAACCTAGTTTTGGGAACTTCCAGAGTCTTCGGAAGATGTTTTCAGCCTCTTCTCTCCAAATGACATTCGGCGAACCAGAGACCAAGCGCTAGAGAACCTTGAAACACTCATATTAGCGCTGACATCCCGGCTATTCCTCCTTCGACATCATCCATCGTTTCCCGATCCCGAGCTCGCCCCAGAACGGGATGCTCTGAATTGCATTCGAGTTTTGACACGGCTTCTGCCGTACCTGTACGAAAAGGAGAGCCTTGCTGCGTGGGAACAACGCTTCTTCTGGGGGGGGCGCCGAAAACGAACCCGTCGTGCCGTCATCGCAAACGAAGTGCTGTTCGATGAGGCTGAGGCTGATGGGCAGGAGACCAAAAAGGAAAACCCGGACGAGTACGAGGAAGCAAAGCCGCTCGCTGAAGAGCTGATAGACACTTTGATCGATCTCTTGTTCTTCTCAGATTTGACCATTACGCGTCAGCCCCAGGGTCATGACAAGGTGACGTTTGCCATATGGCAAAGCGGAGTTGGTTGCAATACTGCCGTTGCTACTACCAAGGAGTTTGAGAGCAACCGGGCAGAGATCCTGAGGCTCTTGATGGCCCTAGCTGGACAGAGCATGTACTTGACGCCTGGTGTTTTAACCCAGACTGGTGTCCGAACCCTGACCTATATCTCGACTTGTCCAGACAAGCAGATTGTTCTCTCGGTTTTGTGTTCTCTTTTAAATACTGTGAGTTTCTCTGGCAAAAAGGAAAAAAAAAACACTTTTCAGAGGTACGAAAGCTAACTCTCTTTCCCCCC